CACCTTAGCGAGGGACATAGCCACGCGGGACGCCACGGCAAAGAGCCGAGTTTCCTTGTTGCCTTGTTGCCTCACTTATCACATTACCACTTGAAACACTACAAAATAAGGATAACTTTCTATTTTAATTTATAAAAAAAAATATTTTCCGAGCGTGTATTAACATTTTAGTTATTTTTTAAATAAAAATTGGTTACTTCTATATACAGTATTATTACTATTTTAATTTTGAAGGACACTAGGGAGGACCATAAATGTTTCAGTAACTTATATTTCTGCCTCTCCCTAATGTCCCTCTTACACGTTAAAGATAAATATTGGAAAAATATTTAACCATTATATTTTTATATTGAACGGAATTTACCTTACAGTAAAATATCTTCCAACGGAGCCATTTGGTCTAGGCCACACACTTATAGGAGTATCAGAACATTTATTACAAATTATTCGTTCAATTGTATTTCTTGTGTATTGAAAGATTTATACTTTTGTTAAATTTTAATATTTACAAAATACGGGATTTTTCAAAAGTAACGCGTCATAGATTGTGCGGAGAAGCTTGTAGGCAAATCATCGGGGGCAAGTGTATAGGTTTTGGTCATACCGGTACGATGTAGCATTTTGTGTCTGTAATACTGTCAAACGGAAATTAATTACACAAAATTCATATGCGTAGTCGACTTACAACTATTGAAGCCCAGCTTCATAGCTCTTTATGTTATGAGAATTGAACTGTTTTTGATACTTGTTACATAGACGATGGAAAGAACACGTTTTTTTATTGTTACTTTTAATCAAATAACATTAAATACAATAATAATAATAACCGGCAGTGTTTCCTGTATTGAATAGAACAATTCTCACAGCATACCGATTAGTCACAGAATATACAACTGGGCCTACATTAGTCGAAAGCGATTCGATCACGCATTTAAATTTTGTGTAATTAATTTCCGTTTGGCAGTATTACAGACAAGAAATGATGCATTATATAACCAATACACCATGCACTTGCTCCTGATGCTTTGTCTACAAGTTTCTTTGCACAATCTGCGATGGGGCATTTCTTTTGAAAAACTCTGTATATCTAGCCACTGTAGTCATGCCACATTGGTTACTGCTACAGCAGGTTTGTTAATTAATTTAGAAATCGTTTGGTTTTGATGTAATAATGCATTCTAAGTGTTCCGGGGTGCAAAAATGACCATGCCTCTTGTAAAAAAAATGTGCCATGTTTTCGTTTCCGAGAGATCCAGTAATACAAAATGCGCGGAGAAAGAATATATTAAAAGACTTCGAAATCATCAAGAACTCATTTGTTTGAGTACAAATGCAAACATAAATGACGCTATTGGGACCTTAATAGAGCTGTAGAGTATGTCCATAAGAGAAAAAAAGTCAAAGGAACGATACCTCCTAATGTGACCTTTCGCGAGATATAGCTCTTCCCGAAATCAGCCGTACGCGAGCCGTATAATACATGTTATGTTTGTTTATATTTTAAAGTAACAAAACTGACTGCTATTATGTGAAATGCTGCAGCACCATGTTTGTTTAGTTAAGTTACAGTAATGCAACACTTGGCCAATCTGCCTAGGGGGAATGCCTTTCGGGAAGTATTTTAAAGGGTAGCTGGTCCCTATTCAGTCATTATAGACGTGGAGAAAACCCAGAAAACTCCAGGCCAGCCCATCCTGGCAAGGTGCAAACCCATTACTGAACTCCCAGCGTTCAGGGAATGGAACCACTTCGTCACTGGTGAGCCAGCACCGTAGGTATCTCCCGATATGTCCAATTGACTCCCATTTTCGATTTGCTAATGCTATTAACAACAATAATAATGATAATAATACATCTGGTGAGTTAGTGTTAATCAACACACCGTTTTCATAGAAAAGATCTACTTACAGTGTGCAAATTTACATCATTCTGAACTATCATATTTTGTACAAAACTCATTGCATTAATAAGTTTTGGTACCTAATTTTTAATGAATCGATTCCCAAAATGACTTATTGACCCATAAGGGTCGACGTCAATCACCCCGAGATTCTTATGTAGTCTTTAAATGAGAAATCAAAGACAATCACGTGCATAAGGTGTTTATGGCCACACTGTAGACATTTTATATATAAAAACTAAATGTCTTAGATTGTTTTATGTCCAAATAACAAATTAAAATAAAGAAATCCCTGAAAATCTTACCCTTTTTCCTTGTTTTTTAACATTTTTCTTTCCCGTATCCCTAACTATTGTAAGAACGCCGATTGGGGGAGAGATTTTTATTCCCTACCATCGGGATGGTCTAAGGTCTTAGCGTATGTGGGTGGCGGTTTTTATAGGCAGCAAAGACAAGTGTTTACAAAGGTAAACCGTTTATTCCGGACGATAATGCTTACATAATTTTTTGGCAAAGGTCCTTAAGTTCAGAACCTTGGGTTGTTTTCGGTGTCGATCTGGTCCTACGCTGGAGGGGCCCCGTGACTGCGTCGAGTGAGAAGTTCGAGATCTGAAGTGACAGCACACAAAAGATGAAAGGAAACACGACAGCTGTCGACAAACGAACACAACAGGTAGTCTAGGTGGAAAAGTCTTAGTGGAAGTTTCGTTGTCCTTGATTTTTGCGTTTTTATAGGGTTTTTGCGATCGGCTTCTTGTCAATTGGATAGTTCTTACATCACCGTTTTCCAATTGCTCATACACCTGTCTCCAGGTGTAAATGGAGCTTCGTTAAGTTCGTGGAAAAGGTCGGCTGGAGATGGTTTATCCGACACCATCTTTTCGAATCTGATCGCGTTTAATTGTTGACTATGACACCTTCGCTCATCTAGACATTTTTTTATCTAGTTTCGTTTTGCTTTCTAAACTGCGTCTTAAGTTTTAATATTTTAAATTTTTTTCTTTTTACATCTAAAATTTGGTTTTTCCGTCAACTTTTGATGAGCGTCGACGTCAAAGTCGGGTGTCGCCGATTCGACACTTATATATTTACTTTCCTGACGATTTAACATAACAAATTTTTACATAGCCCCCCCAAGAAAGGAAAGATATTTCCAGGGCCTCACATTCCTTTAGAGCAGTGTTTTTTCAACCTTCTTGAATACGTGACCCCTTTACGAGTTAAAAAATTCTGGCAACACCCCAGCGCCATATTAAAACTATCAGTGATTTTAAAAACTACGTATTTAATTTTCTTTCCTTAAATATCAATCGAAAAATCAATGTACTGTAAAATAAACAGGCACAGTCTTTACACTGAAATTCTAGTTGTTTTTATTGTAGTGTAGGACCTAAAAACACTTGTCTTTCTTTCACCCGCGACCCCCTGGGGGTCGCAACCCACAGGTTGAAAAACACTGCTTTAGAGCACTGTCACCAATGACAGCAACATCCAGTTTATAGGAAAGCTAGACTAGGAAGCTAGGATCAGTTCTCATTAAGGAAAAGTGGGTGAAAGGCATTGAAAGTTTAGACATTCTAAAATGTGTGGGAAAATATCAGACAACACACAATTTGAATGAATAAAAAAAATATCTAATACAGTCGACCCCCCCCTATAAGACGGTAGATACATTCCATTCTTTATGAATCGATTTCTTACGAGTCCTTGCCAATCACAGCCCGACACGTGTGAAGTTTACGGACTACGGCTGTTTGAAAGGTTTTCTTCCGTAAAATTAATTGATTCTAGACTAATCCGACTCAACATTTCCAAAATACGTATATATATATATTTTTTGGAATAATCCGTATAAACTACGCTATAAACAAAAAATTGTAGGATTACTTACCGAGTGTGCACCATTCGACATCGCCACTGCTCAAGCTTGTTTTCGTTGCGGAGCAGCACACCAAACCGTGGCCGATTTCTGATAACTTATTTTTCTGCGAAAACTTCGTTGGACTTTGGAGACATCATTAATACAAATAAATTTTTATGGCCGTTGAATAAGAAATGTTTCTTTCACATGAAATGTATAAAATTACAGTACTGTATTAGACTTACGGTACCTAATTTACATACTGTACAGATGATAGTAAACAACTTACTCGCCTAAACTCTACGTAGCGTGGCGCTAGACGGCAGAAAGTATATATATAATTATAATAAAGTTACAATAAATTAAGTTAATATATAATTATATATACAGTACCTAATTTATATATAATGCTGTACAGACGATAGTAATCTTTCCGTAGCATGGCGCTGGACGACGGAAAGTAGTTCAGCTGCCCGATGACATTTTACGTAATTATAGGAGTTTTTTACCATTTTCTATGGATACCATCGCAATTTTTTCGCCGTCTTATAGGAATTGTAATTATAGGAACCCGTTTTATAGGGGGGCTACTGTACTGGGGCTTGCACTTAAAAATACTAACTGTTTGACCAGTGAAGTTCTCAAACCATATTAGAGCAAAACCATTTTGTATGGTGATATTGAACCATATCAGTATAAAATCATGTTGTATAAGGAATAGCTATATGTTGAAAAACAGAAGAATTTTTAATTTTTTTTTCCTATTGAAACAGGTGAGAACCTCAAAATAAAGGATGACTTTGCTGTAATACCCTCAGACTGCATTGTGCAGTCTTAAGATGTGAAAGGGGATGAAAGTTAATGACACTTTTACTCTACTTTAGTGTTTCTTCTGTTCTGTTCTACTTTTGATCTGGTGACTTTTAGTTATAATTGTCCCGAGTTTTAATAAAGGATTATAAATATATACATTTAATTATGTTAACCCAAAGAACGCTATATAATATGTAAATACTTAGTAGAACTTAAAATCTTTTTCTGTAGACTAAATATATGTTCATTCACAAGTCATACTTTTTAGATATTTGTAAAATATATCAAGAACTTTAATTTTTAAAAGATACAGAAACACAACAAAAACATGTAAATTGAAAATCCTAAATTATAAATTTTTTATGACAATATTGTGTAATATTGATAGCATTAAATATAGACTTTTCTATTACCTTTCATTTTCAGATTGTTGCATTGTGTCATGAAGCTGGCAGGAGGGCACTAAATGAAAATATTAATGCAGAACAAATCACTTGGTCTCACTTCATGCAGGCTTTGGAGTTAGTGAAACCAAGAATCACAACAGAAATGATTCAGCATTATAAATCGTATTTTGAAAAATATAAAAAGCAATAAAATTAAATAATGAAATTTTTCATTCAATCAATTTTGTTTATTTTAAACTAAATATTTAAGTGAATTTAAAGCATATAATTCATTACAATGCTAGTGCCAGCAAAATAAATTAACTTGCGCATTTTCATCATTGCGATCCTAATCTACTAAGATAATTCGGACATTTGTGACATCTTTCAACAAACAACAATGTTCGATGAAAGAAATACAAAGTAATGTTGGATTGAACAATAAACAATTTTGGAGCCACGAAAACAACTTTACTTTCTAATTTTAATCAAAATGCAAACAGTAATTGTAATTTTTCCTAATTATGATTAATATTAAAATATCCTCTATCCGTAAGTAACTGTTTTGGGACCGAATGTCTTAGAATAATTTGTTATGAACGCTTTTGCCACTGTTTTGGAAGTGGTGTCGGGCAAAGGGACTGCTTCTGCCCATCTAGGAAAATGGTCTGGGAAAACAAGCAAATATTTGTGTCCAGTAGTAGTAGTAGGGAGTGGACCCTGGATATCTAGTGCCGTACACTCGAAAAGTCTCGATACCTTAGGAAACGTCTGCAAAGGGGCTTGATGACCATACAGAGGCCTTCTCATCGCACATTCCTGACAACTGTCTGTCGCAGTAATGTGTTTGTTCATTTCTGGTCAGTAAAACTTTTTGTAATTTCTTTCACATCTTTTTAGCACCTAAATGTCCTGAGCTAGGAATGTCGTGAAATAATTTTAAGATGTATTCTATCATTAATTGGGGATTACTAATCTATCCCAAACCTCATTCCTTTCCGGGATCGTTTTCCTATGGTAAAGGATTTGATCCACGTCTAACACACAAGTTTACAGCATCTAGGTTTGTTTGTTGGGAGGATGGGTCTCCCATTAGTTGTTGCCTGACCTGTTTTTACAAAAGAGGTCTTTATCTGTTGTTCCTTTATTTGTACCTTACTATATACTGTATAGGTTGCATTTCGCAGATCTTTGCCACGGGCATTCGGCCTAGCGCGTCTGCGTTTGTATGGGCTTTGAATTATCTCAAATTGGTATTCTTGTAATGCTAAAGTCCAACGACTAAGTCTCGAACTTTCGTCCTTAACGTTTGAGCCACCTAAGGGGTCTATTATCTGTAATAATTGTAAATTTCCTTCCATAAAGATAAGGTCTAAAATGTTTAATTGACCAAATCACGGCCAAACATTCCTTTTCTGTGGTACTATAATTCTTTTCTGCGGCCTTTAACAGTCTGCTAGCATATGCCACCGGGAGGTGCCTAGCGCGGTGTTTGAGGCATCTGTCGCTAGCACAAAAAGACTGCCAAAGTCTGGGGATCTTAATAGGGGTGCTGCTATCAAAATTTTCGTTTAATTTTTTGAATGTGGCTTCGTGTTCCTCAGAAAGCGAAATTTACAGAGCGAGTTTGGCTGACAGATGTTTAAATTATAAAGATGCGACGGTATTACCGTCATCCTGGAAATACATAATAAGAAGTAACACGTGTAATAATGCGTCTGCCGTGACTCAATAGATATCTGGGTTGATGTATAAGGAATTGTTCCTTAGTNGCATCGAAAAAGAAATTGCAAAAATTATAATTTTCCTGAAGTAATTCGTGTATTAGCAAGAACAAAATCACGCTTTAAATAAACATGCATTAATAAATGTTCGTGTTTGTAATTTTTTTCATTTTACAAAAAATGTAGGGCCCAAATAGTTTCTTGCACCCGGGCCCCTTTATAGAGAAGGCTGGCCCTGCTCGATAGCTATAAGGTTGCGGGAGATATGAGGTTGAAAGTGGCTTTCTATTTTGAATGTTTTGTTCGAATTAAATTCGAACATAAAATTCGAATATTGGTTCGGTTATAGAACGATCGTAAACGTTCCAGAAACGTTGAAAATAGTTCGTTTGACTGGACGTGAACAGACGTTCAGAAATAGAATCGGGACCAGAAAGTGTTAATATAAAGCGGCATGCAAGATTTACAGGCGGTTTTTTGCGCTTTTGCGGGAAATCGAACATATTTTTATGCTCGTAAAAATTCTCTGGAAACGTCTGGAAACGGGAGACCTAATTCTTCCATTTTGTGAAAACGGGTAAGATTGGCTATAATGTAATTATCTTAATCTTCACTATCGTTACTTTTTGCGCACAAATAAAAACCCAGCGAAGCGGGTCCTTGCAGCTAGATTCTAGATTACTTAGAAAAACAATCTTTTATATATTTAAAAAAAACTATATTACATACAAATGTACGAACAAATAAAAACCCAGCGAAGCGGGTCCTTGCAGCTAGTTTTTTATAAAATACAAGGGAAGCGGCGCTTCCACCGCTTCTAATGACAGCACGCCACTGACTTATTAAGAAATTATTCAGGCTTAAGAACTAATGGAATAAATGCAACACATTTAGCAGCCTTTATTTAAATTATCTATTATTGTAAAACTTACAATGTACAGTACAATATCCAACTACAGAGGACTCTCAAACTATAAATTATGACAATTGAAAGGGGAACAGATCGATGTGTTACACGCGCAGCCGCCATCTTGAATGCAAATCTGAATGTATAAATGGGAAGGGGTCATGTGATACGTCATTTAGGGCGAGAATTTCACAAGGAATTAATTGCTGAACGATTTTATTGGTTTACCTCAAACGGTTACAGGGTTATGCACGTTACATGATATGATCAATGTCCTGTACATTTTTGGGTATACAGTTGATCGGTTAACGAACACTTTCGCGAAAGATTTTTATGATCGGACAACGAACACTTCACTGAACAAACATAAAAAGAAGCGACGGAAAATAACGAATACCGATTGTTTTTCCCTTGTCTTCAGGTAACAATTCGAAACCTTTCGGAGCGCGGGAGACGTCGACATCGACGTTCAACCCGGTATATTACTGATCGGATAATATTCCTCCGAACTTTGAAACTCTCTTTTGTAATTTCAGCCTTTTATTTTTCTGACAGAAACAATTCTTTTATAGTATTCTCGAGACTGTCGGGCGGGCACCCATTAAGTTTCGCATCGGTTTTTATTTTCGAAAGATGAGAGTATAATAGCAAAGGTAGAGAGAGTGGACAGATGTCCGATGTTGCTGGGCAGTATGGCTCGAACAGTTCTACTGTAGGCAGCAGTTCAATCTTATCTAAAAAGGATACAGTATAATCTAGAAGACTCAAGCAGCTAAAGGAGTAACAAAAATCACATCTGAGAAATAAAAACATTGAAAAGCTCACAATGGAACCTGAAACGGATCTGACGACAGAAGAACGCCAAGAACTCTTGAATGAATAACACCAAGAAACCCGGCGAAATACGTTTTCTTCTGAAAAAGAGGATTAATTAATTATCCGATCACCCACTGTGTTCTATTATTGAAATGTTCTCTAGCAGGTGTGATTTTCTTTCCTACCCTGTATATTGCATTATTGATTGTTTTTAATGTTTATCGTACACTAAATTGGATTTGTAGAATAAAATTCAGCTTGTGTATTTAATAAAATATCTATTTAAGAATAATTTGACAAGATTTATCTAATCATATAAACTCTAAACTTTAATTAATACAAATCGAAAAAAATGTATAAATATTTAGGCTTTTGGATAATTTTTTTAACTCTTCGCCCTGTGGGCACTAAGAGGGCCTCTGTTAATCAAGCCCATTATGGATTCGGCCAGGCTCACAATGGGGCGGCGGGGGGGTGAGGGACGGGGCCCGACATATTCGAACGGCCCTCCCCCGAAAATTTTCCGAAGAGTTTTCGGGATCGAATCCTGACGGGTCCCTGAGGATAGGATCCCGGTTCCCCCAGAGTGGTAGGCTGCCACCATGACTACTCGGCCATCCGGCTGTTTACGTTCATGGGATACAGTAATCTGTAACTGAAATTCTTATTAAAAAATGTACTAAACATAAAAATTCTTCATGATTTTAATTTATAAATCGAAACGATTTTAGAATTGTAGATCATAATGTAGAAATTTTATTTTATGTGCACGAAAGTTTATTTAATAATAATTAACTTTGCCGGTAGAGGGGCGATGTATCCTTCGGAAAGTCGTCTGGTTTATCTTTTGGAAATAAGATGGCGGATAAATTAAATTCTGTCGAAGATGCCGATATTGACGTCGACGTATTTAAATATATCTTAATTAGAGTAAACGATCCAAAAGAAAATCAAGAAAAGTATATAGTACGTGGCTATAAATGGGCATCCTATCACGGTAAAGTATAATTTAATAGCAGATTCTCCTATTATGTCATTATTTTAAGAAATAGTTTAATTAGAAAGTTATGAAAACAATTTTTTCTTTGATGGCTGCAATAAAACGAGATAGGAGTTGAAAGTAATTCAAAATGTGACTCTTGTGGATAAAAATAGAAAATTTAATGAGGCTGTTTGAAAGAACAAAATTATAAACATTTTATCTATTTTTAGCATTGATTATTTAATTACAGAATTCTTAAATAAATTGGTATTTATTTATTTTTTGTATGTCGACAATTCTTATTTCCAGTACATAATAATTAATTTATACAGTAGAAAATATTTTTCCTGTAAAAGTTTTTCAATGTTGTGTTTTATTCTAAGAGTTATGTAGTAGCCAAAAATTTAAAGTCTGATACAGCAGCATAACTGGAAAGGGGCCTGGAATGTTTGGACCTCTTTCTGGTTATGCTGCTGTATGCGGGCAAACGGCCCATTAATTATTTGGGCTGTTTGCCCGGTAGTTGACTGGGAAATTCCCAAGTTTGACTGCTGATGGTCTAATTGTCGACAGTATAAGCCAACCGTAGTGTTTATCTATATATCAGGTCAGTCCATAAGTTCGTGTGTATTTTATGACGTTGAGAAAAATCTTGTTTTGCTATTAAAAATGCCAGTGTAATGTGATACTTTTTACACTGAAGTGTTAAATTGGATCTCATTCATATAATACTGTTCAAAATTGGGAACATTTCAGTTGTTTATTTTTGTTAAAATGGAAGTAACAGATGATAATAACAGAATATAAGAGACATGTTTTATACTTTTTATTTTTAAGTGATGAGAATGCTACAAATGCAGCCAAAAAATTAAATACTGTTCATAATCAAACTGTAATTAGTGTAAGGACTGCGCAGAAGTGGTTTGAAAGATTTAGAAACAATGATTTTAGTGTGGAGGATAAGGCTCGTACTGGAAGACCTGTTGACTTTGATGATGATGCTCTCTCTGCACTAGTTGAAGCAGAACCATCTTTAACAGTCGATGAAATTGCGGAACGTTTAAATTCATCCCATGGAACTGTTCATAGACATCTACAACAAATCGGAAAAGTTTCAAAGCTAGGAAAATGGATACCACATGAACTGTCAATAG